AGAAGCTCACTTCTGTCTGTCTTATATTATTTTTATTGTAGGGGAAAAGACAGGGAATCTGTTGTAATTTCCTACACCTATCATAAAGACTTATACACTTAATATAAGTGTAATTGTGACTGAAAAACTGTTAAAGCTTTTTTACTTTACTAAACTAGAAGTGTAAGCCAAGCAACTGGCCTGTAAAACTAGCTACTCAGCTGACAGAATCCAGGAGAATCAAGGTTTGAAGCTAGCCTGGGCAGAAAAGTCCATGAAACTCCATCACCAAGAGGTATGGCTCAAGTGACAGAGTGCCAAACAAATCCAGTTGAGCAAGTACAAAGCCCTGAGTTCAAATCCCAGTACAGCCAAAAACAAACCAAAACAAACAAAAATAAATAAGTTTTACTTCCCAAATTTCGAATTCTGTTCTCTCCTAACTAATCCTCTTCCCCCCTTGAATCTAAGAAGTTGAATAAAGGAATTTTTTTTACTATTTGAATACACCTTTATTTCTTAAATGAATTATCACTATGAATATATTTTTACCACATTCACTTGTAGTACTTTATTCTCCATCAACTTGATATTCCATGTTATTATATCTTCTCTTCTTTATATTATTCAGATATATGACTTTGGAAAAGCCAAATAACTAGGGTTTGTTCCCCTCTCTTTTATATAGCTTAAAAAAAAAAAGTTCTATTTTATCCTTGAATAATCACTAATCAATGGGAAATATAAAATTTTGATCGTGTATCTGGAAACTTCAACATTTCATTGTAGTCTCATCAGGAAAAAATAAATATTCTACTATATGAAGGTCTAATTTATTCCCAAGGCCAGGTAATCAGTACATCTTGATCACCTCCAGCAAAAAAAAAAAATCATAAATACTGAAGAGTTTCTAATGCCAGGGACTTTACTGAATCTGCATACCTACTCTGTGAGGTGCTTTATTTTAATGATGAGAACTGAGACTTTAAAGAGACTAATGTATCCAGTTCACTAACTAACCAGACGCAGACCTGGAATCTAAACCCAGGCTGGACTAAGTATTAAGTCCGAAATGCCCATTTGAAATTTCACCTTCTTGGGCTGGGAAGGTGGCTCAGTGGTAGAGCGCTTGCCTTGCATGCATGAGGCCCTGGGTTCGAATCCTCAGCACCACATAAGCAAAAAAAGAAAAAAGCCGGAAGTGGCACTGTGGCTCAAGTGGTAGAGTGCTAGTCTTGAGCTGAAGAGCTGAGGGACAGCACCCAGGCCCAGAGTTCAGGCCCCATGACTGGACCCCCCCCCCAAAAAAAAGAAATTTCACCTTCTATTAACTTATAAGGATGTTCATAAAACTAATCTTGCTATTTCTAGGTAGTGAGTCTGAGGTGAGATTTTTAGCTTTCCTTTTTGTGCTTTTATGTCATCTTGTAATTTCTTACAATGAGCAAGAAAGTGTTTTTCTTTCTCTAAAAAAAAAAAAAAGAAAGAAAGAAAGAAAAATGGGTTCTGACAAAAAAAAAGAAAGAAAACATCAAGGCAAAAAATAAAGCCTTCAAAATAGTGTTTACATATTCAAGTAGGGTAAGAAGATAGTAGGCCACAGATACAGGGAAGGATACTGAGGTAAGATGGAAAGCAAGATGGAGTACAGAAGCCACATGGCAATGACCTTGGCCTAGAATGCTTTTCTTAAAACTTAGTCCACCTGGGGCTGGGAAGGTGGCTCAGTGGTAGAGTGCTTGCCTTGCATGCTCAAGGCCCTGGGTTCGATTCCTCAGTACCACAAAAGCAAAAAAAGAAAAAAGCCGGAAGTGGCACTGTGGCTCAAGTGGTAGAGCACTAGCCTTGAGCTGAAGAGCTGAGGGACAGCGCCCAGGCCCAGAGTTCAGGCCCCACGACCAGACCAAAAAAAAAAAAAAACTTAGTCCACCTAAATGTTTTCATCTTTGACCTAAAATTCTCACCATGAATTTAAGCAAACACTGTGTGTCAGAACTCATATCAGCATGTTACCTATAATAAAGGAATACTAGAAACTACCTCTAACTATAAATTTTAAGTACTATCTATAAATTGTAAAAATTAGAAACATGGATTTTTATTATAAGAAATGAAAACAAAATCGAAATTGAAAAGTAAAGGACATATCACAATGTTTCTTGCGTGTGTATATGTGTGTGTGTGTGTGTGTGTGTGTGTGAGTATAACTAGAGTTTGAATTCAGAACTTTGCACTTGCTACTCAAGTACTCTATTGCTTGAGCCAAGCATCTAGCCCTCTTTTGCTCTGATTATTTTGGGGATTTACTATTTATTATTTATTTTTACCTAGGCTAGCCTGGACTGTAATCCTTCTATCTATGCTTCTCATGTAGCTGGGATGACAGGCCTAATGCCCAGGTTTTTCTGCTGAGAATGGGACATGTTGCTGTTTGTCCAGGATAGCCTTAGGCCATGATCCTCCCAATTTCTGCCTCCAAAGTAGACAGTATTACAGATATGAGTCACCAGTAACTGTCCACTTACCTTTTTTGTTCTAATTTCTCTACTTCTTAAAGCTAAAAATAAAACATTTTCTTTAAAGGACAAGTACTATTATGTTAAGTTGAAGTGATGTCACTGACCATAGAGACATAGTGATATCACTGACCACAGGGAAGTAGTCAATTTATAAGAAATTACTAGCCGGGCGCCGGTGGCTCACGCCTATAATCCTAGCTACTCAGGAGACTGAGATCTGAGGATCATGGCCGGGCAGGGAAGTCCGTGAAACTCTTATCTCCAATAAACCACTAGAAAACCGGAAGTGGCGCTAAGGCTCCAGCGGTAGAGTGCTCGCCTTGAGCTGAAGAGCACAAGGACAGCACTCAGGCCCAGAATTCAAGCCCCACGATGGACAAAAAAAAAAAAAAAAGAAATTACTGAGGGTAGTATAATAAACTGGGAAGTTAGAAGCACACTACTGTAACAAGCACATAGTAAGTGCCTTTCAATTTATTATAAGTACAGAGCAAAGGGTTCTGTACTTACAATTTTATGTTGGTAAAGTGACAAAGAGGGGCTGGGAAGGTGGCTCAGTGGTAGAGTGCTTGCCTTACATGCATGAGGCCCTGGGTTCAATTCCTCAGCACCACATAAGCAGAAAAAGTCAGAGTGGAGCTATGGCTCAAGTGGTAGAGCCCTAGCCTTGAGCTGAAGAGCTGAGGGACAGCACCCAGGCCCAGAGTTCAGGACCCACGACCAACCAAAAAAAAAAAGTGACAAAGAGATAGTTAAAGCTGCGATAAAATAAAGAGCCAAAACAAATGGAATAAAGTATTCACATTGCCTATGTAAGTGCGTCTATATACTATGCTATTGCTACACTCAATAAAAGCTTCTGTGTTACCAAAATACACAATATGCTGGAAAAATCATTTTACACACTATTTACTAAGATTCTTCCATAATCTTTGCTGCAAGAAGAATACAGATCAAGATTCGTAGATCTGCATAAAGAACAGGAGTAGAATATTTTAGTATAATTATAAAAGGCTTATAGCTATTCATGGTAGAGAAGGAAAATAAATGTAGCCTTAGAAGATTCTCAAAACACAAAAATAATCTGTGAATATTGTTTTATAACTGCATTCTTACTTCTAAATAAAATATGTTTCAAATTATCATGTACCTACCTGAAATTAAAAAGATGTAGTTAACAATAACTAAATATAACAATGAAAAAAATAAGGATATTTTTCCTGTTTCTGAAGGTCATAAAAATCTACTTTTTATCTAAATCCTTTCTTTTCTCCACAGCCTACTATAATTGCTTCTTTTTCACTGAAAAAATGAGAAAAGCAGCAGGCTGAGTATGACAAAAAAAAAGATGAGATGGATTTCTGGTGTGACTCAAGGAAATGGGTGTTACGTGTTCACAGTCAGTCACACTCCATTGTAAGGGGAAGCAAAAAATAAGAGGGAGCAAAATTTCCCACAATTGCAGGGGGCACAGGGTTCATACAGGATAGTCACTCCCGTGCCAAAGACTTCATAGTTTTCAGATAGTAGGTCCAAATCCAAGCAGAATAGGTATTTCCACAGGTAATTTACATTATAGTATTTAGTGTCATGGGATCGCCAATAGGTCTTATAATCACCAGGTGCTAATTACTCACACTTGTAACCCTAGCTACTCAGGAAGCTGGGATCTGAGAATTGTGGTCTGAAACCAGCCTGGGGAGATTCTCACCTCTAATTAACCAGCAAAAAGCCAGAAGTGAAGGTATGGCTCCAGTGGTAGAGCACCAACCTTGAGCGGAAAAATCGCATGAGAGAATAAGGCCTGGAGTTCAAGCCCAGTGGTACCAGTATAAAAAGAAAAAAAGAAAAAAGAAAGAAAGAAAAAAGAAAACAAGTCTTATAATTCCTTAAAAGAACTACCATAATTAGGAATATAATATCTATCCTAAATTCACATGGACTCTAAAATTAGCAGGTCTTAATATTATTTACTTTGGGACTTTCTGCCTTATGTATAACTTAAAACATTTTACATCCTGTTACATTTCTTCCTGTTTGGCCTCGGATTACACAATGATTTACTGGCTGCTCTTAAATCTGCTTTACAATACTTCCTATACTACAAAATGAAACCCTTTTTATGAAGTTTTCTATAGTATTTAAAGGGGAAATCACTAAATTTCATACTTCCTTGCAGTATTCCTGGACCTAAATGAATCATCCAGATTGAGCTGAGGATTCCAAATGCACAGTGTCCAGCAAAGTTGGCTTCTGGTTTCATGCTGTAACCATGATCTCAGCTACCCAAGACATGCTTTTTCCAGACATTACTGATTAAACCAATCAATTAATTATTGAAGGTAGCTGAACCCAGGTTAATAAAGAAAATCAACTCCCAATACATTCCACAATGCTTTACATAAGCAAAACAAACAAAAACCAAAACAAAATCACAATTATTAAAAAGCCGATTTTTGCTTAAAACACCAAGCAAGGAATGGACACATGAATATTCCTAACCTGCAAAATGATTCCTCCACATTATATCAGCGAAACTCATTGGTGGGCCACTGGGAGGGTAGTGTTTACCTTTCAGAGGCTCATGATCAGTCCTTATCATATCCATTAAGGAGTTCTCCAACGAGTGCAAGTTAAAAGTGTCATAGGGCCTACTCCGGTCCTAAAAATAAAAACACAGAATAAGACAATACATCAAATTCTTCCATAAAAATTAACATGGTATCATTTACTTTCTGCTGTGGGCTGGTGACATGAAAGTTACAGTGTTTTGTTTTGTTTTGCTTTGTCAGTTGTTGGGCCTGGGTGCTGTCCCTCAGCTCTTCAGCTCAAGGCTAGAGCTCTACCTCTTGAGCCACAGTGCCACTTCCGGTTTTCTAAGTGGCTTATTGGAGATAAGAGTCTCAGGACTTTCCTGCCTGGGCTGGCTTTGAGATCCTCAGATCTCAGCCTCCTGAGTAGCTAGGATTACAGGCATGAGCCACCAGTGCCCTGCTAAAAATTACAGTTTTAATAACTGTCAGTCATTAAAGAATAGTGACTTGGCACCATGAAGTTAAACATCAGTTTCCATAATTAAGCTGAATCCCTTCTCCTAATATTCTATATTGTAAATGCCCTACTCAGTCAGGCTTTCTTTCAAATGATCTAGAAAAGGAGAATTCAAGTGAATTTAGCCTCCATCTCCTGCTTCTTTTGTCAAGTGAACACAGACTACCTGCCCCCCAGGATAACCACTGAAATGAACTCAGCCTACAAACTCAATCACTTTTTGCATCTTTTCTCTTATATGTGGAAGTTATAATTAGCCTGTAAACTTATAAGTAAATATGTTGGTGGATATGGTATGTAAGTGTAAATAAATATACTAACAAATATTGTAGATTCAAGGGAGATCTCAAATAGTATAATTCCTTAGAAAAGCAAAATCAAAGTTTGGCAAAATAAAACTCTAGGAAGCTGGAACTTGAAAGGAGTAGGGTGAGGTCAAGGGGAAAGGGATAGATAAAGAGAAGAGAAGGTAGTCAAGAATCCAATGTATGGAGGAAGGAAGGGATAGTGGGAGAACAACAAAGGAGGGGGTAACAATGCTCCACAAGTAATGTACTTATTACCTTACTTATGTAACTGTTGCCTCTGTGTACAGCATCTTTACAATAAAATAAAATAAAAAAGAACCCAATGCATATCATATAAAAATTAAAAAGTAAGAGAAGGGGTAGGGAGCAGTGGGATGGGTAAATGTTGATCAAGATATATTCATTTGTGGGCTGGGAAGGTGGCTCAGTAGTAGAGCACTTGCCTTGCATGCATAAGGCCCTGGGTTCGATTCCTCAGCACCACAGAAGCAAAAAGAAAAAAGCCAGAAGTGGCGTTGTGACTCAAGTGGTAGAGCACTAGCCTTAAGCTGAAGAGCTGAGGGACAGCGCCCAGGCCCAGAGTTCAAGCCCCATGACTGGACCCAAAAAAAAAAAAAAAAACCAAAAACAAAAAGATCTATTCATTTGTTAAATGACAACTCCTTTGTACAACTTCTTAAAGATAACAATCAATCACTTTTCTGAAAAATCAAAAGGTGATATGATTTTCAATATAATTGAAATGAATGTATTTAATATTATGAGAGGTAAACTCCACATATTAGGTGCTTTTTAAAATTTTTTTTAATATAGGCTATGAGGGAGAAAGAAGGAGCAAGAGAGAGAGAGAGAGAGAGAGAGAGAGAGACAGCAAGAGAGAGTAAAACAGCTGAAATAATGAGCTTGAGAAAGATCTGGCTATACAAAGGAATGAAGCTAGGATGTGGGTAAGTGGTAGTGTACTTGCCTAGGGTGAAGCCCTGAGAAAGGAAAAGAAAAGAAAGATAGGAAACACAATACATAGGAAATAAAATATAATTCCTCATACTTTATCAAAAAATTAGTGCAATTTTTCCTTCAATTACAAAATTGGAAATATAGGCCTATTTAGAAGACCATCCTAAAAAAATGTCCAAGTCACTCTTTGACAAGTGCTCACGTGAAGAAAACTTTAACTCAAAGTCGTGTTTTCATGATGCTGGACTTTAAAAAATTGAAAATAGAGAGCTAATGTAAACTAAGTGAAGAAAAATAATAATTGTTCCACCATATTTCATGTAAGCCTACACTTCTAAACTCTTCTTAGTAGTCTGAGCCTAAAGAAAACTGTGGCTTATGACATAGGTTAATTCAATAGACAGATTTATTTTACTTTGTTTTAAAAAGGCAAGAAAAGCCAAGCTGTTGGTATACTCCTATAGTCCCAACACTCAGGAGACTAAAGTGAGAGGGTTGTAAGATCAAGGCTTGCCTGAGCAATACAGGAAGACACTGTTGGGGGTGAGGGGAGATAAAACAAAAGTACATACATCTCAATAAGCAAACCAATTCAAACTTCAGTAATGAAAGATTGAATGCAGCACCCTAAATAGTTAATCTTCTTCAATGGACAACACTCCTCAATGATTCTTGACTAGGAAGAGACATGCAAATTTTTCTCTGGTTTTGGTTTCTATATAATTCCAGAAAGTCTTGTCTTCCTGTAGATCATTTGTTTTGCTTTGAGCTTACGTTATCAGTGTAAATCCTAATAAGGAATATTGGATATCCAGAATACAAGTTTATCTGTCTCCCAAAGAACTGTATTTTTGTCCAAAGAAAAAGCCAGCAATGAAGAAGTATGCTGATGAGGAAGCAAATGACAACCTATATCTGGCTCTGCAATCCCAGAATGAATACCAAAAAGACTTGTATCACATCTGTACTTCTCAATAGAGCCTGCAGACATGAGGCCCTTTCAGCACAGGCTGACAGAGAAATATAAGAAAAGACTATGGTGGAATGTCATAGTGCATGCCTAGAAACCCAGCATACTGGGGCTGAGGATCAAAAAGTTGATGCCATCCCTTAGTAAAGCTACCCCAGTCAAACCTAAGAAAGGTTAAATTCAGTTGGGTGCCAGTGGCTCACACCTGTAATAGTTCAGGAGATTAAGATCTGAGGATCACAGTTTAAAGCCAGCCCAGGCAGGAAAGTCCAAGAAACTTATCTCCAATTAAGCACCAAAACAAAGCCGGATGTGGAGCTGTAGCTCAAGTGGTAAAGCACTATCTGTTGAACACAAAAGCCCAGGACTGCAACAGGACCTGAGTTCAAGCCCCAGAGCAGCAGTATGAGGAGGAGGGTGAGATTTTAGAGAGAAAAATAAAGTCCAGATCTCAGCTCAAAACCAACAAGTATAAACCTAAAGAGTATGAAACTGCCCAAACAAGTTAACACAATCCACCTGAGATGGAAAATAAAAACGTGCATGGTGGGGGGGGGGGGGAGAAGGGGTGTGTGTGTGTGTATGAATGTGAGCCAGGATTAGGGCTTGAATTTAGAGCCAAATGCTCTCATTTGGCTTTTCCTCTTAGGGCTGACTACCTACCACTTGTGCCACACCTCCACTTCTGGCTTTTTTCCAGTTAATTGGAGATAAGTGTCTCATGGCCTTTGAACCACAATCCTCACATCTCAGTCTCCAGACAAGCTAGTATTAGGTATATGAGCCATCAGCACCCAGCTTGTAAATTAAAACTTCTATAAAAATGTAACATTGGGGCTAGGAAATGTGGCTTAGTGGCAGGGTGCTTGCCTAGCATGCGTGAAACCCTGAAACCCTGGGTATGAGTCCTCAGTACCACATAAACAGAAAAAGCCAGAAGTGGCACTGTGGCTCAAGTGGTAGAGTGCTAGCCTTGAGCAAAAGAAGCTCAGGGACAGTGTCCAGGCCCTGAATTCAAGACCCAGAACTGGCAAAGTAAAATAAAATAAAGCATAGCAATGCATCTAACTACTGATGAAATGACCATCCAAGCAAAGTGGTAATAAGTTTCCTGTTACAAAAGATATCAGAGATTAGTTACTCAAGTGTGTTTTCACCTATCTAAATTGAAACAATTCTCTACCAGTCAAATTGTCAAAAGCATACATGCAGCTAGTTAAAATACAAAGTGCTAAGCTATAGTTAAAAGCTACTTAAAATAATTTTTAAACAGAGTTAATCCCATCTATGAGGGAGGTGGAAATAGGAAGATAGTGGATTGGGGTCAGCCCAGACCAAAAAAAAAAGTTAGGGATACTCTATCTCAAAAAGCTAGCTGAATATATGGATATATTAACCCCTCCCAACTAATATAAACTAATAAAAAAAAAAAGCATACACCTGTAATCTAAGATAAGTAGGAGGCCAGAGGTAGGAGGATTCCTATCTGAAGCCAATCCCCAACAAAAATCAAGATTCTATCTGAAAAAATAAACTAAAACACAAAAGGTAGAGTGTATGGCTTAAGTGGTGGAGTATTTGCCTAGCAAGGGTAAGGCACTGAGTTCAAACCCAGCACCGCCAAATAAGCCAATAAACAAAATATAGACATTCATGGAGGTTAACCTAACAGGGCTCACTAATGCTCAACAAATGAAAACACATGACATATGAATGGCATGACAAAACTTGTAAAGGTAGCTTAATTAAACTTTAGAATTCTAAGAGACTTGTTTTCTCATTAAAATTAATTATATTCATGCCTCATCAATTTATATTTGCTGCATACCATTCATCTTTTTTGTTTTACAAATGGTCAATCATGCTGAAATAACCGACAAACCAGGAAGCCAACAAAAAACAAAACAAAAAGGACTGAAAAATATGCAATGAAATCCAATAGAAATCATGCATACAGACAACCAAGCCACAATTTGTCATTCAATGACCAAAGTTACACATGGCAAGTTGCCTGCTAAGTTTCTTTTGGTAAGTTTTGTTTCCCAATACCGGGAAAAAAAAAACAAAACAGTTTTTGTTTTGCTATTAACAAACAAGCATACTAGGAAGCAAGAGAACATTTATAAATAATGCATCTCATTATTGACTCATTTTCTTTAAAGACAAACAGTGACAGATGTTATCAGCTAGTTGTTCACAGGAGTGGCTCACCCCCACTGGAAAAGCCCTGCTCTTTTTGTTCCCCACAGCTTGGTTTAGTATTGATAGATTTGTCAAGTATTTAAAGTTACCTCACAACTCCATGAAGGAGGTAACCATTGTTTCCCTCTTATAAATTAAGTAAATGTCTTGAACAGGTTAAGTAACTGGTTCAGA